AAAGCCCTGGGAGAAGACGTCCGGAGCCCGGTACGTGGCTCCAGTCCGCCCCGCGGGCCCAAGCACCGTAGCCCCCGGCCGACCTACCAACCTCCCGAAGGCTCGGGGCTCGCACTCCCTGCACGCCGGGTGCTGAATACTGTAACGGGAGACCTCCCCAAACATGGACTCGAATCAGCAGTCAGTATCGGTTCAGTGAGGACAGTGACATGAGAGTGTGAGCACTGCGGTTGCCGCTCTTGGCTTGATTATAGCCAGCAGAAGATAGTTTTCTTAAGGGTTGTTTTGACCGGTTGATGAGAATCAATGAGGACGTCCTGCGTTTCTTTAAGCAGCCTCACCTTCGGGAAACGATTTTACAGTTGGGTGTTTGTTCATTGAGACAGTGTTTCTCTGTAGCTTTGGAGCCAGGCCTGGCCTCGAACTCTCAGAGATCCACCTACCTCTTCCTCCTGAGTGCTGGGATTAAAGGCGTGCGCCTTTTTATTTATTTATTTATTTATTTATTTTAAATAGGTTTGGAGACATACTTACTCTGTAGGTCAGGAATTCACTCAACTTCACTTCAAACTGATGGTAGTGGTATAGTTAATGACAGAAATGACGTCTGAAATACAGCTTGGGCGAAATAGATTGATGTATGGTTAATGCCATCTATAGGAAATAGAGACAGTCCTCTGTTGCTAATCCCTATTTAAAGGTAATGGAACCTGAGTATCAGAGAGTTAAATAGCTTACCTAAGTCCCTAGTAGAACGCAAAGTCCAAGCATTTTCCTCAACTCAAAGAGAAGAAGGAAGGCTGGAACTAACAGTAATTTAGTGTCCTAAACATGAAAACAAACTGCCTTTATTTTATTGGGTATAATTTGGAACAGTTGCAGAGAATGAGATTTTTCCGCACTGAAAAGAACCTTTGGAGTGCAGGAAAATGTGGAGCGGTCCTTAAAAAAATCAAATAGGAGAAAGTTGTAATTGATAAAAGGAAAAGAGAAATGTGCACTGGCCTATATATGCTCTTCCACAAGCAAGACTGTGACCCACATATTGGAAGCATTAGGATTACCTATGAGTTGGTGATGCCACCAGGCTGACTCCACCTCCACTTTCCAAATTAGAATTTGCATTTTATCAAGACAGCCTGTCCCTTTACCCTTTGTATACACACTTAAAAGTTTGAGAAGCAGAAGCTGGGCCGGGTGGTGGTGTTATACACCTTTAGTCCCAGCACTCAAGAGGCAGAGAGGGGCAGGCATATCTCTGAGTTTGAGGCTAGCCTGGTCTAAGAGTGAGTTCCAGGACAGCCAGGACCAGGGCCATTAAACAGAGAAACCATTTCTTAAAAAAACAAAACGAAACGAAAAAAGTCTGAGAAGCAAGCACTATGTCATGCCATAGAGAAAAATAGTTTCTTTCCTCACCACAAGATGTCAATACAAGCCCAGTATGATATAGTAGATTATTTATCTAGAATTCTCAGTAATGGAGTTCAAAGTTAGAATTTAGATTAGGGAAGACATTAAGTGTCAGTGTGTGGATTTAATGTGAATTTTTTCTCACTGTGGTGAAGGAAGATTGAGACCTGTGTACCAAGCTACTTAATCTTTTAAATTACTATTGTGTTGTGTGTGAATATATAGGACACCTTCAGGTGTCAGTTCTCTCCTTCCAATGGGATAAAATTCCAGTGTCAGTGCAACAAGTACTTTTATGTGCAGAGCCATCTTGCAGATCCTCCAGGGTACTTTCAAAGTGATCTTAATGGTTGCCTGGATTGGCAGCTGGGAAATTGGAACAAGGTTGTTTAGCTATATCCATGTGTCCACACAGTTTGATTCCAAAGTTGCATGCCTTCAAATCCTGGCTTTGCTATTGGCTCAGTGATCTTGATTTGGTAAGCTCCCCCTCTTCCAGGATTTTTCTTGCTAAAATTTCTTTTACCTAATTGCTTCCACTACTATACTGACTAGAAATAATGAGGTTATTCCTTCTCTTTAATTTTTTTTGTTAGTTAACATACAAAGTAGTTGATTTCACCATAGCATCTTCATATATATATGTTATCTTTTGTTCCCATCCATTCTCTTTCGCCATCCCTCAAAGTTGGTTCTCTTTCTTCCTCCTGTAGGTCTCTTTCTGCTTTCCCCTCCGCAAACTGAATTACCATTTATTCCTCCTGAACCACTTAAAGGCTTCTTCCCCTCTTACGATCCTCTTTCTAGTTTCATGACCTATACTCACATAGAAACACACACACACACACACACACACACACACACACACACACACACACACACAGAGCAGGGAAAACTAGAACTTTAAATCTGGGTGAGAGAAAACAAGTAGCATTTGTCTTTTGGGCTTATTTCATTTAATATGATTTCCTGTTACCTCTATTTTCCTGAATTTCAGAAGTGTTCTCTCCCTCTCCTCCTGCCTTGAGTAGAGTCTTTTTTTTTTTTTTTTTTTTTTTTTTTTTTTTTTTTTTTCTTATCATGACACTCTCCTTCACCAGGTCATACAGAGGTGGCTATAGGCCACCATTTTACTTGGAACTCCCTAAGCTCAAAAAGCTTCCGAATGTCCCAGTTCTGGCTGTATGTGTGTCTATGTCCTACATGTGTGCCTAGTGCTCACTAGAGGCCAGAACAGGGTGTGAGAGCCCCTGGAACTGGAGTTACAGACTTGTAAGCCACCATGTGGGTGCTGGAAGTCAAAATTGGGTCCTCTGGAAGAACAGCCAGTGCTCTTAAGCCACTGAGCCATCTCTCCAAGCCCCCACCTTCAGTACTAGGAGTAGAATCTAGAGGTAAGTTTGTGTAGAAAGTAAAACACTTACTAGTTGTCAAGTAACTATTTCTGACACTTGCTTTTCAGGAAATCATTTCAGAAATTTCCCCAGTCAGATTCTGAGGGATGGAAATCCTGGAGAGACCTGAAAAGTCAGCTTGCACATTTAAAATCTGAAGTTTCATTTCTAAGTAAACTTACTGGCATCAATATAAGAAATTATTCCAAAACTGAGGACATTACAAACAATGAAGTGACAGAAAAGGGTAAGTATTGTTTTTGACCTGGATATGAATTTAAATTTTATTATGAGTGCGTGTTGGGGCAAGGTAGACATGTCACAGTGTGCTTGTGGAGAGCAGAGGACAACTTTAAGGGTTCTGTTCTCTCTCCACCTTGCTGAGGCAAAGCCTGCCTGCCTTCCAGCTTCTGCATTACACACTCCAGGCTCACTGGCCGCATGACTCTCAGTCCTTCCCCCAGCTCCTGGTAGATCTCTTCCTCCTTTTTATCATGATTATTCCAGGAATCCTATTGCTTACAAGGCAAAAGCTCTACCAACTGACCTAACCCCTAGCCCTATCCCTACCCTTTACTTAAAAAAAGAAAAAAAAATTAGTCTGTTCAAATGTAAAAAGTACTGAAATTAAAGTACTTTGAGAGGAGGTGTGAATTTGCTGAGAATGGCTCAATCTGAAGCAAATTACTTTCAAAGATGATTTTCACTAAAAGAAATCTTTTCATCCTACACTGTCTTCTATTTCTTCTAATAACTGTACACTTGGAGGATAAGTATTAAGTGACTATTTTACATGCTGGTTTCTACATTGTACAATGGCATGACACACACATATTAAAATGAGATGTGGTATGAATGCATTTTGGAGAATAAATATTCAAAGGAAAGAGACTAGGAAAAAATATTTTTTTCTAAAACAGTTTTCTCCAATGTATTCCCAATTTTCTAAAAAAAAAAAAAATTTTATTACTGCAATGAAAACAATAGTCTATTCAAATTTAAAAAGTACTTAAAGTTTATTATAATGTATATATATGTAATCTATATATGTATACTTTATTGATATATATATGTATATATATGTATACTATATTGGTACTTTCATGATGCAAAAAGCAAAATTTAGACTCAAGTCACAGTATTTATGTGGGCCTGAGCATCTTGTCTGCAAAATAAAGTCATCTATGTTATTTCTTAAGATTCCATTCAAGATTTATCTTTACCACATTTTGGCCGTGTTATTAGTTTTTTTAAATTACATTTGTATATTTAGTGTGTGTGTGGGGGCACACATACCAGAGGACAAATTGAATTGAAGGAGTTGCTTCTTCCCTTCTACTCTATGGGTCCAGGTATCAAAGTTGGGTTGTTGAGCTTGTTACCAAGTAATGTGATCCCCCAAGCAGTCTCATCAGGCTGGTTCTTTGATTTTTTTTTTTTTTAAAGGAAAAGCCGAAGATCACCTGGATTTTCTTCAGTATTATACTCTATGAATTATGTATTTTTGTTCTTATTGTGTATGTCTGTGATCTGTTTTAAATTTTTATAAAAGTCAGTGCTTAGATTTATTTTTTTACATTCAGATGTCCAACATATTTTTCAACTAAAGCAGCCTTTCTTCACTGACTTTTTTTTTTTTTTTCAAAAATAAGTTTACTATTTTGTTAGTTTATTTCATGGCTATTTTGTCCATTTGGTCTATTTATTTATACTTTTGCTAACACCACATTTCTGGATTATAGTAGCTTGATAGTAAGTTTCAAAATGGGATGTTCTTTCTCCTTCCTCTGTATCTTGCTCTGGTCTCCCCACTCCTTGCTTTACTGTCTTCCTTCTTGAACTTTGCAATGTGTCCTGAACTCCTAATACACTACCTCAGCCTTCCAAGTTCTGGGATTGCAGGCACGTACCACCACATCCAGCGTCTGCACTCATCTCTAGCTGTAGAATAAGTTGTTGCTATCAATTCAGAATGGCTCCCTGGCATTCTGTTACATAATGGACCTGCTTCTGTGCTTTTTTTATTACATTGGGTTTCAGTTCTATATCTTCCGGGTCTGTGCACTACTATTTCATCCATCTGGTTTCCAGCTTCCAGAATGAAGTTCTTTCTTTCCAGGTCTCTTTATCTTTGCAGTATTGTGTTCTCCTAGAAAGAACTTGCTTAGTAAAACTACATACCTACATGTAGTCAGGATAATTCTTAACTCTTGGGAGATAAGGAATAGTCTGTAGTAGAAGACAAGGGAAATTTAGAAGGTACTATAAAATTGGGACCTCTTGACTTGGGTGCTGGTTACATGAGTAAACACATGTAAAAATGATTGAGGTGTCAAGAGTATTACATTTTAAGCATTTAAAGTATGCTTAGTGTATTTCAAACATACCATTTGTACTCATTTTTGTACCAGCCCTTTTCTTTTGGACCACCAACCAGCTCCCAAATCATGACATGGAGACTTATTAGTTTTGAATGCTTGGCTTAGATTAGGCTTGTTTCTGGCTAGCTCTTTGAACTTAACCTGTTTCTCTTCATCTATGTTTTTTTTTTGTTTGTTGTTTTTTTTTTGTTTTGTTTTGTTTTGTTTTTGATTTTTCGAGACAGGGTTTCTCTGTGTAGCTTTGGAGCCTATCCTGGCACTCGCTCTGGAGACCAGGCTGGCCTCGAACTCACAGAGATCCGCCTGCCTCTGCCTCCCGAGTGCAGGAATTAAAGGCGTGCACCACCAATGCCCAGCTCTTCATCTATGTTTTGCCTTTGGACTTTTTGCCCTTTGTTTCTGTGTATCCTAATCTGTCTAGCTAGCTAGCGTTTACCTGGATGGCTGGCCCTATCTTATCTCCCTGTCTCTGTTCCTCAGTCTCTCCTCCTCCTCTTCACTCGTTCTCCTACTTATTCTCTCTGCCTACCAGCCTTGCCTATCCCTCTTCTGCCTGGCTATTGGCAATAGAGCTTTTCATTAGACCATTCAGGTGCCTTAGGCAAGCAAGGTGAAACAGCAACACATATTTTCATCATTAAACAAATGCAGCACCAACAAATGTAACACACCTTTACATAGTTAAAGTCATTCCACAGCGTAAACAAATGTAACACATCTTGGCCAAGTTAAATGGGCCAACTTGGCCCATTTTAGTAGGCTTTGTTGTTGTTTTGCTTTGTTTTTAAGATGGTGTCTCTCTATGTAGCCTTGGCTAGTCTGGAACACATAGTGATCCAGTTGCCTCTGCTTCTCTAGTGCTGGGATTGAAGATGTGCAGCACTATGCATACCATTAGTGGGGATTTGAGGGGTAAGAAAAGTAAACACACAGATGTAATTTATTGTTTTTAGCCATGTCTTGAAATAACTTGGTAGTAATATATGAGACCAGCCCCAAAGGACTATGATACCAAAGCAAGAAAGGCATGAAGATCTAGAATTGTAGACTGCAGTTTATACTGCAGTCTGGTTCTGAGTTTTGGTAAATGCCAATTGAATCCTTGAAATGTGAGTTAGAAAGATGGATACATTGATGGGTTAGGACAAAGGTACCTTTTGTGTCTTAATATTAGAGTCAGGTGAATATCAGGAACCAGAGGCCAGCTATAATGTCCATATATGATTATAATGGTATTAAATTTGTTTGGAAACTGTAGGAAAAGCCAGCTAGTATTACTCTGGTACAGTTGTGGTAATTGCAGTAATGTCAAGATAAATCCATACAAACTTTCATTCAAATTTTCAATGGATGGCTCAGCAGATGGATGGCTCAGCAGAAAAAGGCCCTACACTCAACCTAATGGTGACCAGAGTTCTCTCCCTGGAATCCACATAGTAGAATAAGAGAACTGATCCCTCAACTCTGACCTACACACACACACACACACACACACACACACACACACACACACACACACGTGTGCACACACACATATGAAAAAAAAATTAGAGGCTGGATGTGGGGTACATGCTTTTAATCCTAGTATTCTGGAGGCAGAGACAGGCAAATCTCTGTGAGTTTGAGGTCAACATGGTTTACATAGTGAGTTCCAGGATAGCAAGGACTGTATTGAGAGACCTGTCTCAAAATAAATAAATAAATAGAAAATAGTGAAAAATAAAACATGACAGTTAACATGATTCAAACTTATTTAGGGGTGTGTGTGTGTGTGTGTGTGTGTGTGTTTCTTAACCATTGATATACTTGAGAACTTGAAAGTATACATTTTTAGTAATTCTATTTTATAAAGCCAACTTCTTTGACATGACCTTCCAGATTTTTTTAAATTTATTTATTATTTATTTTATGTGCATTATGTTTTGCCTGCATGTATGTCTTTGTGAAGGTGTCAGACCTTGCAGTTACAGACAGTGAGCTGTCTCGTGGGTCCTGGGAATTGAACCCGGGTCCTCTGAAAGAGCAGGCAGTGATCTTTACCACTGAGCCATCTCTTCCAGATTTTTGTTTTGTTTTTTGAGACAGGGTTTCTCTGTGTAACAGCCCTGGCTGTCCTGGAACTCATTTTATAGACCAGAATGGCCTGGAACTCATAGAAATCCAGCTTCCTGAGTGCTGGGATTAAAGGTGTTCACCAACCACCCTTCCAGATTCTTTAAGGGGATTACTAATGTATATTTTCATAAATCTACTCACAAGTAGATATTCACTTAAATAAGTATTTGAAGAAAAGAATTCTTTTAAATAAAATATTTGATTTTCTAATTAACAGATACAAAGAAAATTCTACAGAGACACAGATTATCAGGAAATTGCAGCATGGTTACATTTCAACTGGAATTTCAGGTTCTGGAAATTGAGGTAACTTGAGCATATTGTGATAACAGATTTTTTTGTCCTATGAGAAACAGTTCCCATACTTAGTCACTACAGTGGTTGAGATGAGGAAGAGTGAATAAACCAGGGTTCCGTTATAGCACAATAGCACATTTGTGTCATAAAAAATTTAAGAGTACCCTCTTTTTTTTTTTGACTTATCCCTTTATTCTTATTTTTTTGTATAGAGGAAAATGTGCTGCCCTGAAGAGAATAGCATGTTTTAATTCACCTATATGACAATCACCATATAAATTGGAAAAAAATACATCCATTTGTCCCCAGATCATCCTTACTAGCAAGAATAATCATAGTGTACAGACTAAGTATAATTACATCATTTTGTCTTTTCATTTATAAAATTCTGAAGGTATTGAGTATTATTTCTAAGCATACTACTGTCAATGCTAAGGCACATCATGTATTAAAATTGACTTTTTAATGCATTGATCTGAGGAGGAAGCAATTTACACTGATGTCAATAAGAGAATTACTGGGTTCTCCTTTAGAACATTCCCCTCCAAATAAACTTTCTTTATAAGTCATAAACAGCTAAGCAGCATCCTTTACTGTTAGAACTTTATAGTTGCATACCAGTGTGTAAATCTGATATGATTTTCAGATTAACATTGTGCTGTAATAAAATATTAGGAGAATAAAGAGATAGAAAAAGAATTTTGTAACAAAAATCAGCCCTCAATCCTTTCAATCAGAGATATACGGACACTCCAACATTCTTCCTTTGGTCCTGATACAAATTCCTATCCAAAGTAAGGAAGAGTATACCATAATCAATTTTCTCAGGAAATGACACAGACCTTCTTGTCACCTCTGGCTTTGCATGTAGACAGTGTGGCCAGAGTAGAGAAACTCAGTTTGGAAGCAAAGAGAACTTAAAGAGACTTTTTGTCATTGAACATTCCTCTATGCCTATTTCCCATAGTCCTTTATACATGAAAAGTTTTCATTGAGTTCATAAATACCAGTGTTCTCTTGTGGTTACTTTGGGGCTATTTCCAATCTGTCTCATCTTTTCCTCCCTCTTTCATTTAAGAGTACCTTCTTGTTGATGGATTTTCTTTGGGCTACCAGTTCACAAAAAAGCACAGATTTATTAATTATGAAAGCTCAGCATTAGCTTAAGCTTGTTCCTAGCTAATTCTTATAACTTAAATTAACCCATGTCTTTTAATCTACATTCTTTTACATGGCTTGGTTACCTTTACTCTATACTGCTCATGCTGCTTCCTCAGTATCAGGTTGGCAACCTGCCTTCTTCTTCCCAGCAATCTCTCTCTGCCCAAAAGTCCTGCCTTTCTCTCCTGTCTTGCTACTGGCCATTTAGCTTTTTATTACAGCAATCACAGCTATACATCTTCACATCACTGAATGTGATGAAACTGGTGCTGAGCTCATATGTGCTTTAAGCTAGCTAGGAGATGGTTTTAGGCTCCCAGTGAAAGTCTTTGAGGTTGTGGAACCAGTTATGCATGCTGCCAGCAGTTAACTGATTGGCAAGCTATCATCTTTTAATTATTTATTTCTGTGTAACAAATTTTCCAACATTTATCCTGTTGAAACAACAAAAATATTACCTTATAACTTTTCTATGTGTCAGGAATGTGGGAGCAGCCCTGTTTGGTGTCATTGTGTAGGGTCTCTCAGGTAGCTGTCATCTTAGGATCATAGCCATGTTAAAAGACTCTTGAG